TTTCGACCATTGTGCAAACACTATTAATAAAAAAAAGTGTGTGTGTTCTTATGTACGCACGTAAGAAGTTATAGTTCTTAGGCGTAACATAACAAAAATAGCTAAAGCTAAAGCATCCCGCTTGTCACAACTCTCTATTCGTAAAAGGAATGCAGCTAACTTTATAATGTCGCTTTTTGGCTGTCGGTGTAAGCGCGCATCGTAAAAATTTTACTCTCAATTTTTTTCCAAACGTCCCAAAAAAAGTATAACTTCAATAAAATCCAAGTGAAATAGGATGAACATGTCAGTATAACATGAAGCTTATAAATATTGAACAGTTTAGACGGTGTTATAACACAAAGTAACTATTTTTTTCGACGCTTCAAAAGGATATGTAGGGATATGTAGGAATGTGCATTACTTGATGTTTAAGGAAGAGTATTTATGATAATTAATCATTTATTCTTATAAAAGATAATGTTTCTATGACAGTCTTTAAGACTGTAGGCTGGTATTATATTTTTGCTGCAAAAATCTCAGTCTAGCTTAAAATTTTGCATTCTTTAAAATATCAACTCTAGTTATCTGAGTAGCAGATAAATGTAGAATACGAGGAGATTTTCTTTCTTTCTTTTTCGTCAACTACCAAACGTTTTAAATGTGTTTTAAAAACCGATGAGATGAAAGAGAAATGCATTTAGGCCATACGTAAGTTCCTAAAAGTATCGGGAATTACCATACATCAAGGTACTTCGATACTCCTGATGGGAAACCCTGCTTCTAGCTTTCCCTAATTAAAATTAGACTTCACTGGAAAAGACTGACTCGTTGCTGAATTTTGTCTTAATATTTGTATGATCAATACAAAATTTTTACATAAATTCAACCACTCAACTTCATTTTTAAACATTGCTAGTCTAAAGTAAAACCTAAAATATATGATTGTATTAGATATCTGATAAAATATTAGGAAATTATGAATATATATATAGCAAGGATTCGTCGCATGCCTCGTTGCTACATTGGCCCGGTCACCCAGATTTGTACGTGATTCGAATTATGTGGGCACTATTGAAAGTGAATTTCCTTTTGTGAGTCTTTTTAACTTTGTATGAAAATACCTTTAAATCGTCTATCTTGTTAAGACATTCAGAAACTTATATAATATTCTTTACTAGCAGCTCACCCTCGCTTCGCTCGGGTTCATCTCTAGAAAAAAAACAAAAACAAATCTATCCCACGAGAACCGTACACTTTTCAGGATAAAATGTAGCATATGTGCTATTCCAAATTATAATCTATCTCCGTGCCAGATTCGTTCAGCCGTTCAGCGTGAAAGATTAATACGCATCCATACATACAAACTTTCACATTTATAATATTTATATAGATACTAGCGGGTATATAAAAAAAAAATTTCGTTAGCTTTTTATCTTTATTAAAACCTTCCGTGGACCTTAAGGAACATACGAATTTTTTTTTGCCGAATTGGTTCAGCCATTGTTGAGTTATGCGCTTACCAACATTCATTTTTATTTATATAGAAGATAGATAGATAGAAGATAGATTACTAAGATTTGCTATTATTATAATAATATTGTATTAATTTTCTTTAAAATTGTTATATTTATACCGTTTAAATATTTTAATGTTTGCTATAAGGCATTAGTAAAACACAAACAACTAAGGAATAAGAAAGTAAGATAAAAATGCGGAAAAATAGAAAAATCCGAAGGAATAGTATCATTTGAAATATCAAATATTCATGTGAATATCAGAAAGTATAGTAGTATTTATTTGTTTTGTAAAACGTGCAAAACCATCAGCTGTGACTTGTACAGATCAAAACGTTAAAATATGTCATACATTTTCGATCAGAGATAAAGAAGGCGCGAGAATTGCGCGCGTGACTGTAAGCATCTGGTTATGGCCGTTTGGCATACCTTTTATAGGAATTATTTCAACTATGTGTCACATAGATTATTTTAGTAGACATGATATATTTTCTTATTTTATCTAAAAATTTTAGTGGTTTTATAAACATATCTATATAAATAAAAATAAAATGCTGTAAGTTTGTAAGCGCATCATTTGAGAACGATTAGACTGACTTGGTTAATTTTTGTTTAAATCGTTTATAATCTCTGAGCCTGAAAAGAACCTGAGAACGATGTATAGGGAAAAATCGGAAAAGTTGCTCGGGAAATTCGGGAAAAATAGAAAGTATTGTTTTGACGGAATTTTTGTGTAATCTCCAAGATCATTAACAACGTCTGTAGGCATCTAGTTATTTAAAAAAAAAAATGTAGAAGACTTTCTAATATATCCTTCAAGGTTTTTTTGATCTAGCTCTTACTTAAAATTAGTTTGCTGAAGAGATTATAATATATACTGTATTACCATAGAAGTTATTTGGGTAGGAAAAATTTTAGAAATATCGATCTTGCCAAATAGTTGAATTAAAAATTACACACCAGAGAAAAGACGAATGATGCAAGGTAAATATTTATTACTATTTAGCTAGCTTTATTTATTACTATTTAATGAAAAACTTTTTAAAAACTCGTTCCATTGCAGCATTGACTAGACAGATTGTGGTGTAATCAGGAATTCTATGCTAATAGTTCTAAAAGTATTCTGTCGTTTTGTTTCCTTTAATCATTGTTTATATTTTATGCTAGCGACTCACCCTCGCTCCGCTCAGGTTCGTCCCTACTTACGTTTAATGTTTAGTGTAGATTTTGACCCGGATAACCAGCTATCATCATACCAAACTTTATCAAAATGTCTCTAGTAGTTTTTCCGTGATGCGGTCACAGACAGACAAAAACTCGCCTCTGTATCGATAATAATGTTTATTTCAATGATATTTTCCAAAAAATATTTTTTGTACAGATTTGTCTTAGTTACAATTTTACTATATGTATAGGTTCGAATCTTGCGTAAAAACGGATGAACGATTTGATTTTATTATGAATAGCTAAATAATTTAGTGTTGGATACAAACGTACAACGATTTCAAACTCAATTTAAAAGCTACGAATCCACTTTATCGATTTACAATTCACAATTGACTAAAATATCGCGATGTTACAAACAAAAAAAACATACCCGAGTGGAACACCTCATTTTTGTAGTCGGTCCAAAAATTGTAAGTAATTAAAATTTTTGACACTAATATTTTATTGAGCAAAAAAAAACGTTTTCAGTTTTTAATTTAGAACATCTATACATATAATAAAATTGTAACTGAGCCGAATCTGTACATTAAATATTTTTTGGAAAATCTTATTGAAATAAACATTATTATCGATACAAAAGCCGAATTCATAGTTTTTAGAATTTTTGTCTGTCTGTCTGTCTGTTACCGCATCACAGAAAATCCACTGGAGGGATTTTGATAAAATTTGGTATGGTGGTAGCTGGTTATCCGGATCAATATATAGGATACTTTTTACCACGGGAAAATGTCTCATTTCTGAGAAAAAATACAAAAACTGCAATGTAAGAGTACAGTAATATGTAAAACCTAAGAATTTGGTTTTTGGTCACATGAACGTGGGCGGAGCTGCGGACAATGCTAGTTTTCTATAAAAATTGTCAATAATTTCATTTGTATAATATTTAATTATGATCTGTCATGGTCATTATTTCGATCTCGACAGTACCTAGAGTGTCGCGAGCCAAACTAGTTAGGTATTTGTAATTATCTCTATTTACAGTTTATACACTGCTATTACTATAATAAACTATAAATTTAGAATAATATACCTGTCCTAACGGAATGTCCATATTACAGTACCGTATGTGATACGATACTATTTTGTAGGACATAATTTTTTTTGTTTAATGATCAATAAATTAATGTCAAATAGTTATTTTTTTGGTATTGAATTAATTAAATTTAGATGGACGGAGAGGTAGAGAAGATTGGAGAAAAGATGGATAGATTGTATGAGGCAGGACATGATAGAGAGAAAAAGGTGAATTATGAGATGACGAGTAATAGGGGAGAGTGGAATAGGGAGACTTACTGCGCTTACCGCAAGTAATTTGGGAAACTGGCAGGGAGATGATGAGATATTTTTAGTATATTATACAAGAATATAAAAAAACTTTTATTCACATCACGATACATTTCCAGCATCCACATCGGCAATCCACATTTGGCCATCGTGTTGGGTCATTACCTTACGTCTCTCACGTATTGTGGTCCGTGCTTATTAATGAGACGTTAAAAGTGCTGAATTATTCTTTTAGGCTTTTCTAAATACCAGACAAATATGGAGCTCAAGCTGTTTAAGTAGTACGAAACACTATTACAGCAAGTGATTTTAATGGCATTTTATGTTTGTAATAAAACTAGCGACTTACCCCGGATTCGCCTGGGTAAGTCCCTAGAATTCTTTTCACCATACATTTTACTGCTTTATTTTATACCGTTTAGGCAGCGTACTCCGAGAAAGTAATAATACGCCCAGTTTTTTTCGACTTTCATTAAAGTTGTTATGATAGCTGACAATAAACACATTTTTATTGGAATAAAAAATAGTTTTTAGCACTCAGCGGTAATATCAGCTATATTAGTGAAAGAATTTTCAGACTCGAACCTGAAGTTTCAGAGATTACATACATATATACCTACGTATAAACTTACTAACTTTACCTCTATATAAATATTATTACTATACATATATAAATGTAGGGTAGGAATATCAATTGAACCTTGTTATAATTCGGTATTTTTTCGAAAGTATCTAAAGTGTAGTTCGCGTCGTAATTGGAACTAGTTATAAATAGGAAGCCATTTGCTATGCATTAAAAATTACATGTTAGTACCAACTTCCTTATAATGAACATTTCATGACATGCTGAACTATTTTTTCCATCAGAGAATAAAAAGGTGTTTTGTTTTTATTTTATGAAAGACAATACAAATAGAAAATATATTATGTAAGTATTTAAATAACACTGCAAGGATTTAAAAAAATATTTTTATTTCATTCATAACCCAATTACCAGCCGTTCGCAGCGACAATGGGGCTATAAAATTTAGCGGGGACTTGTTGCACAGGAACAGGAAAAGCTCTGTAGGCGGCCTGGTAGGCAAAAGGTGCCACAGATTGGTAACTGATGGCAGCTGCAGGCGCTACTGCCAAGTTGGCAGGCAGACCAGGGGCAAGACCGAAATTAGCTGGCAAAATGGCCGAATTATATGCTTGGATGACAAGATTTTGCGCCTTGAGTGCTTCTTCCACAGCTGATTTCAGATCAGGCACTGCTGTCTCCTTCTTTTCACCTTCTGCGCTATTCTCAATAGCTTTTACTTCTGATGATTTTACCAAATCTTCCTTCTCTTCACTTTTCATTTCGGTGATACCTTCACTTTTCTCAGCTGATTTGACTTCGGCGCCTACTGATTTTACTTCGGCACCTGATGCTGCTTCAACAGCAATTCCTGCATCAGCTACTTCAGGAGTTGATACGCCAGGAACTATACCAGTAGCACCAGAGTTTGTTTTGGCCAATTCAGCGGCATTATCTGCCACGGAAGCTGCAATCTTTGCTTCTGCGATTTGGGCTTCGTTCATAGCTTGCCATTTCTTCTCCTCTGCAGCCCAGAAAGCTTCCTCGGATCTTTCCTTTGCCAAATCATTGGCTTCACTTACTCCTTCGTTTTGATTTTCGGCTGCTTGTTCGGCTAATTCACGAGCTTGATCAGCTAGTAACTGAGCTTGGTCAGCTACTTTTACCTGTTGATTTTTATTAATGTTTAAGACATCGTGTATCTTTATTATTATCAACAGGTGGAAAAATACAAACGCCTATTATAAATTATTTCTATTGTAATATCTAATTGAGTATTATTTTCAAATATGAATTTGTCAATTTTATCTTTCAAATCTAATGTTTACGTATAAAATACTAAAAAATTTATCTATTAGTTTAAAATATTAATGTCACTAGCGGGACTTGAGTCCTTTATCCTTCTTTCGTCATAATCAACACCATTCAGTTTTACCTGAGCATCAATAGCAGCAGCCTGAATATCACCAGGTGGTATGGTCGGGGCCACAGCTATACCAGGTATAGCTATTGCGGCGAAAGGTATCGGCGCCAATAATGAGGGCGCGGCGGATACGCAGGCGATAAGGGCGGATACGATCTGAAAATATGATATGAGAGTTATTTATATAATAATTCATAAAGTTCGCTTGGGAATCCGAGTGATGCAGGTTCAAATTTTGGGCCAGCGTGGTGAACTATGGCTTGATTCCCCTCGCATTGAAAGGAGGTCCGTGTCCAGCAGAGGAACGTTTAAAAAAGGAATACAAAGGGTTTAAATGGTTCTATGAGATTGTTTTGTTTGTGTTGAGGAATTCTTAGAATGGTCATTGGTCTGGTTGTTGCATGCATTGGCTTATACATGAAGTGTACACACTTCATATAGGTTATAACCTGACGATAGAGTAAGCTGCAGTTTAGTTTCTTTAAGCAGTTCTAAAATACTAAAGTATTTTTTTCCAATTTGCGGTCGGGGTTTTAAACAAATAATACGTGTATTTTTTAAAATCAACATTGAATTAATATTCTTATATGTCGCGTGGTCCTTAATTCGGCTAAGCTCTCTATTTCTCTGCTACCCTCGTTAGGATTTCTTTTGCTATATTTGTAAGGAAAATATAAAGCTTTTTAATTAGCGATTTGTGATAAAATAAGCTACGTAAAAAATGACACTACTGCATTATTTATAGCTAGTCTAAATGTATTGCTATATCGGTTCAATGCTCCATGATAGATCACGACTCGCAAGGACTTAAATAAAAATAATTTTATCATGAAGTTTAATAGACACAATTTGCTACACATGTTCTGACAACATGATTGCGTGATGGTGGCTTAAATGGGACATACCCATATATATTTTTAAGTAAAAGTTGAAATAGAGACCATGGATTGGAATGGCCTTTGTATCCAGGACAGGTGATAACTTCTTACTATTAAATCGGTTTATTAATCCACAGTTAATTTAAAATAAGCCAACAGCCGCGGTCCATAAAAGGGCGATCCACCAAGGAAAATCCAACCGATCCTGAATCTGATTGCCAATCGAGTTTTATGATAGACGTTCGTACGTTACAATTATTTTGGTAAGTTATGCGGAAGTCTGGTGCAGACAAAAAAGTAGTTTTAATGTGTCGATTTGGTCTCCAGAATTCTTATCATATGGCGGTGTATTTTTAGTTAACTTATGTTTATATTTTTTGCCAAACTACTTAAGCTAGTTTTCACTCAGTGGTCAAAATTCGACTATATTTATTTATATTGATAACACTTAAGTTCGTTAATAAATGCTAAATGAAAATAAAGAAAATCGATTGACAACTTTTTTTGCCTTTTACGAGTAATATTAGAACTTAAAAGTATGGGCGAAACGTTCGGCTAAATTTTATGAGTGAGAGTCCAATAAAACTTTTCATATATTGGTGTCAATATTTGAACAGATAGATATTTCTTAGAGATCTAATTATGTATTTTTTGTATGTTTGTTTGTAAACGTCAAAAACCATATAACCGATTTAAAAAATTCTTCTATGAAAAGTTACACTATAAGCGAGTAACATGGTCTGTATTTTACTTAAAAAATAGTTATAGATGCTTACGAAAATTGCAATAATGTAAACCAAGGTATCAAAAATTTGCCCTATAAAAGTCTTTTTCTTTCGTGCGCTGCTAAAAATATTCATGATACGTAAAATATGTACTACATGTTTATAGTTCTCATCATTACCCACAAAAAAGTCCGCGAGGCTATATGTCTATTCGTATCATGATATAAATTCTTATCCAACTAAATAGTTTCATAATCAAGGTTGATTATGTATGTACATGTAAATTCCTCTTTAAAATATTCGAATTGTACCTTTCGTTTATATTCATTACGTAAAATTTATTACATATCTAGTGATTAAATAAAATATAATAATAATATGAATAAGTAAATAAAAATGTTAAATATCTAACAAAATTGAGAGTATGACCAAGATTTTTCATTACCGTTTCTTGACCACCATCAAAAAGTATCTACTCAATTCGGTTTTGGTTTTTCGGTATTTATACTATAAGCGACATCTTTACCGAATGTGAATCAATTTTTTTGTGATTATTATCATGGTTATTGATTACTTTCATAATGATTATTAAGTAAATATATTGTTTCAGTTAAAATTATCACTCTTTGTATATAATAATATGAATTATAGGTCATATCTATTCTAAATTGACATAACTTTTTTCATTTATGAACTGATTGAAATAAAACAAATACTAAATGTTAAGTGAAGCTTACCACAATACAATAATGAAAACCGCACTCAAATCGGTTAAGCCGTTTTTGAGAATAGCGCGAACAAACGCATAGACTAACAAAAGCAAAAATTCTAGAAAATCATTGTTGTAGGTTCTATTGCTTGAATAATGACCCCGCGATAATAGTTTTTCTCAAATATCTTCCATGTGCAGACAGCGATCAGTTACACTTTTATTATATGTATGTATAGATTATTATGAATGAGTAGGCATATTTTTATAGGCTAGTTATTACAATTATAAAAGACGGTATGCGGAGGTCGTGTGTGCAAATTGTATGTATCTGTGTTTATTATTTAGTGGTAATTACTTGACTGTAACTAATTCTCGTTTGCAAAATTTGCGAATGCCTACTGTTACGGTTGGTTGCAATTGGTATTTTAATGGAGTTTTTGATGGGACCTTCACTGACAGATAGCTGATGTTATAAGGAGTAACTTGTAATTCAGCCCTGTTTAACGTTCGACTGTTGGGCGCGGGCCTCCCTTCAATACGAGGGGGATCAGGGCATAGTCCACCACTCAGGCTAAGTGCGGGTTGACGGCCTTCACATGTCTTTCGAAAACTTGCTAGGTTCTCTCAGACATGCAGGTTTCCTCACGATGTTTTCCTTCACCTTAAGACAAGTGTAAATCATGTTGGAAATGAAAATATCAGAGGTGCGAGACCCGGGATTTGAATCCGCTTCACTCGGTTTCCGAAACGGGCTACCACTGCCTTTAGTAACTTGGCTACTTTTATTTTAGAAAAGGAATTCCTGGGAGTTCTTTCGGGTTCCGTGCAAAAAAATTAATATCCGTGGAATTGTGAACAAAATTCGCGTACCGAGGGACGAATCCGTTATATCGCTAATACCGTTATGTCGCCAGTTATAAATAAATTACTTTCGCATTTATGATTTCATTTGAATCTTACTAACCACCACTGTTAAATTTATATTTACGATAATCATCCAACCAAAAACCCTGATTCGTTTGTACATCACAGAGCTCAATCTCCGACTTCGCGTAATCTAAATCAACTTACATGAATTAGCCTAGTATTATTATAATTCTAAAATGCATTAATATATTTTAATCAGATTAAATCTAAATGATTAGCAATGCTTGAGTATCATGGGAGTCACATAGAATGATTTTCGTATTTTTGTTTAAGATTCAACTTATAAAACATACTTTCGACCAACTTATGTATAGGACTCGTCAAAGCAAATCGAATGAGTCTACTCGAAGCTTTAGTCATTGAAGAGTTCCACTATCCATCTACGCATTAGATCAGCTGATGGAGATCAAATGATATTGTTATTTTAGATAAATTAGATTTGATTAGATGGTATAAGCGTGTTAACAATTACCTACATAAAGACTAGACTTCGCCCGCGGCTATGTTCACGTCGTTTTTTATCAAAACATGTACTAAAAAATTGTAGGTCTTAAAAATACCTACAGAAAAGTCCACAATAGCATGTGCACATCTACTAGTGTACATTAAATATTTTGTATCTATATAAAACCTACATAAGGTAATTAATTTGGTTTTATCGTAATCTGAGAAAGCCTTCATCAAAAATATGCTGTACCATTAAAAAATAATAATAATTCAAAGTAATTCCAAAGCGTTCAAACAAACAAAAAAGAATTCAGATTTATATCAGTACAGATAAAGCGTCTGATATAATTTACTTACATATTTTAATTTGATTCATTATTCAAATAAACCAGGCTATCCTTGATATTTCTTATGCCGCCAATTATGCAGGCCCTTATCATACTACAATATTGCTTAGAATTTGCATTGTTGCTTGGCTCATGTAGGAGTGGCCGTCATTTCCCTAAACAGCCATATATTAACATATTATATACATATTTATATATGTATGTATACTGTATATGTACATATAATAATATACGGATTGTCTCTATATTCTGATCTTTTTATTGGGTAAGTTTTCTAATAATAGCCAAAACGGTAACGTACCAAAAATTACGTGTGTTCAGAATTCTTCAGTTGTTTTCGAGGTCAATAGGTGGCCCATCCACCATATTTAATTTATGGGAAGTTTTATTCTTTGTCTGTCTGTGGCTGTCTTTATGTCTACATTTATTATGATGGGACTTTTCATTGCGAACGAATGTAAAAGATCATATTTCCATCGGGATATTATTTCAGTAGAGATACAAAAAATTTTAACATCACTTTCGTATAATATAAAAAAGATTATGTAATTTTACATGCTTATTTTTTTTATTGTTAGTATTGAAAAATGTACAATGCACTAATTTAATATATTTAACAATAATATTTAATAGTTAAAATTGAATAGAAAAGTTTATATAGACTTTACAAATAAACTCACACGTATAATTAAAGTGAAATTTCTTTAATATGCGTTTGAGACTGTAAAGCATTTAAATGATTGCTGTAAAGCACTCGAAACGTCGGGAACCAAAAATCGATATAAATCCACCAAAATTCCGATAAGATAATTTTATTTGAAATGTCAAATATTTGGGTAAATCTAAGACAATATTATGTCAAATAGCTAATATTAGTAGTGTCCTATTTATTAATAATGTAAAAAAATCTTAGTTATATTTATTTTACAGGTTCAAATTCATTATCCATAGTTTTAACACCATTTGTATAAGTCATACATACATATTCTATAAAATACATACATATAAACAGGTATCAGTAAAAACTTATAATAAATCAATAAAAAATCATTATTTTGCCACGAGAAATGATTCTCTAAAAATATAAAAAATATCACCAAAAAGGCCAAACTCCAACTTTCCACACAATCACTTGTCAAACAATGAAATTAAAAATATTACTAACCAGAACTCTCATCGTGATGTCGCGAAGGCTACTGATTGCTCTCATCTCGCAAAGCGTTTTTATATTCAGTCTATAATATAAGCTGAATACTGGATTCTTAACACCTTCATTATTTAAAAAAAAAGTAAAACGTCAAGTGAAGGCGGGATGGATGCAGGAAGCGCGCGCTTTTTGATAGTCGTCCATGGGTACCATATTCACGTTGTTGTTGCGTCACCCAGGCGCCATGCTCATACATGTTTTTGTACACGAATTTGTACGTATTTTGCATTTGATTTTCTATTTAAATTATATTTACGTATAAATGACAGAAAATCTATACTTCTATACTAATATTATAAATGTGAAAGTTTGTGAGTATGGATGTTTGTTACTCTTTCACGCCGAAACGGGTGAACGGATCTAGATGAAATTTGGCACAGAGATAGATTATAGCCTGGAATAACACATAGGCTACTTTTTATCTCGGAAAAATGTACGGTTCCCGTGGGATAGGTTTGTTTTTGTTTTCCTAGAGGCGAATCCGAGCAAAACGAGGTGAGCCGCTAGTTGTTAATAGTTAAAAAAGGTGACAGGACCAGTTGTACATAGAATATTTAAAAAATATTTGGATGCATATCGTATGTATGTTTGTATGTTTTTGTTAGTGCTACGATATCTTCGATATCTTCGTCCATTTTAAACCCGGTTATGAAGATTATTTTTTTAATAAATCATCACTATAGTGTGTTTAAGTTTGTTACTCCTTCACATTGAAATGGCTGGAATTATTTGGATGAAATTCAGTACACAGATAGACTATGACTTGGAGTAACACATAACGTTGTTCTTTGAAAGTGTCGATATACGAGTATGTAATTAATAATAATTTATTATTGGGTCCGTCCGGAGATTCCTTATCTAAGTCTTTTTGTTCATCATCAAACACGACTTTGACATATTTCTTAAATTTTTTAGTTTTCTTCATACCTATAACAAAAACACATAACCTTCTCTCTTCGAAATAAGCAAAACATGGAAATCATACAATTTCCCTATTATTACTCATGATTTTATATGATCTCACTCTACCATTAAAGTTATTAACATTTATAGTTATTGTCGTACGGACAGACAAGATGTATGAACATATATAGCTTTAAAAATAATAAGTTAAATGTCATCGTATCGACTTTTTGTGTGGTACAGATTTCGAGAATGTCAGCCAGATTCCATGCATATTTTACACACTCTCGTTTCACTTGTCGATAATTTATTAATAATTATTACTATAGTTTAAAATATAATGTGCGTAATTTTTGTTACGGCCTCGTTGGTTTAGTGGCTAGCATGTACGGCTGAAGATCTGGAGGTCCGGGGTTCGGGTCCTGGGTCGGACTCGGTGTAGTTATTGATCTCTTATGCTAATAAATTCACAGTAGCAGTAGAGAAGTTCACGACGTTACGTGAGAGCACGTAAAATTAGATTTAACTAGATTTAGTTACAATTTATTAGAAAACATTTATGCTTAACTATTATTTATTTCCTTTTACAGTTAAAAATAGTAGGGGAGCACAAGAGGGGATTTTCATAAACTTTATAGTCGATTTTTGCCTCTTCGGCTTGTGCAAATCGGCAGATAATTGAATTGGACACTTTTCAGGATGTGACTAGCCTACCACACCTTAATCTGACGGTTTCAAGTATTTCTACCTTATCAAAACATTTTTTAAATATTTTAATCGGCTTCCCTAGACGCGCCCCTTTATATAGAAGACTTATATTATGGTGAAAGCACTCAATAGAGTGCAAGGTAACCTCTTTTATGTTAATCTGCCGCGCTCGAGTAACTACAGAAAATCCCCTCTTGGGCTCCCCTACTAAAATGACGGTTAGCATCCACCCATGTCAACTCTCCGACAACCAATTTTTGTTTTTCTAGTCTTACCATTCTTATTTGTATTTCTTTCTTATTTTTTTTTCCGGCGTGCCCATTCTCGTGATTTTTAACTGGCTAATTTATAAAGGTATCTGTAATTTGTGCATTCCCGTCGCCGGTGTGGTCGGCATAACAATAAAATAGCGAAAGCTTACGATATCTACTGCGCATATGACTAGACTAGCGGCTCACCCTCGCTTCGCTCGGGTTCGTCCCTAAGGTATGTATACAACTTCCCTATTTGAATCGGATATTATTAAATTTTTCATTCGTTTCTTTTTTTTGTTGGACCCTATTTTTTTTTTCTAAAATAAAAATAGCCTAATTTACTCTTTATTACGTCAGCTATCTGCCAGTCCCGTCAAAATCAGTCCAGCCATTTCAGAGATTAGCCGGAACAAACAGGCAGACAGACCAAAATTGTAAAAAATGTTGTTTGGTACATGCATCGTCCCACCGTTATCGCCCCCATAATATTTTTCTTCTTTTTTGTTTTTGTCAAATGTCATCGAATTTCTTTTAGTGACCTAAGCATGAAAGGGTAACAGATAGACATACAGCGATATTTTCACTTTTTTAATAGTATAGATCATGCTAATTAAAATTTAATACATATAATAAATTAATTGAATGCGACGAGAGTGTGTGACGACGAAGGATTCCTAAAGTTTAAATGTATACAAGATCCTTATCAAAGGCTTAGTGAAGTGAGATGCGTATAGGTATTGGACGTGTCGATGGTTGCGAATATTTACAGACAAAGGTGCGTGCAGTTTCTATATATTCTAGAAATTTCGAGAAAAAATATAATCAGTAATAATAACTTTTGCCTGCGACTTTATACGGTTTTGTTCCTTTCTACTTGTATTATACTCGTGTCTTTTCCTTGCTTTGCTTGGGTGCGTCTTTAGATATCCTTCGCATTCATCCATATGAATGCGAAAGGTATCCAGAGACACATTAACAACAAACACGAAAAAATCTTCCATAATAAGTTCTTAGAAAGTTCTTTCTTTCTTTTTTAATTTAATACAAATATATCATTACATCGCTAGCTTATGTTTGCAAGACGTTAAATTATACCATTTTTTTAACTCAACCTATATCCGGTATGGGACTTTAATTTATTCTCAAAGTTTCGGTTTATATTAAATGCGAAGCACATCTAAGGACGCTGGTTACTTTAAAAACTAGGGAACTATTTATAAAGCTCATATAGAAATGATGAGTTGAAGTTTCTCCTCCATTATGAAATAGCGACTTTCACTCGCCCCTTCTGGTGTGTCTAAGTACCTAACAGTAGCTTATGCGTTACAAATGGTCATATCTTTCTATGTCCTAATTTTCATCCAAATCCGTCCAGCCGTTTCTGCATGAAGGAGTTACAAACATACATATGCACATAGAAACTATCACATTAATTATAATTAGTAGTTTTATTTTATTTTAAAAACAAATAAACAAACAAACAATTTCATTATTATTATGATGCTACTAACCATAATTTAAGATAATTTAATTCACGTCGGAAATAAAACGAGATTCACTCTCGTTTGCTCTTGAACTCTACGCGGTTATTCACCTCGTGTGAGGCTCTTCTCCTTTATAACTTAATAGTTTTTGTTCGTGGCTTCTTTCGCGTCGTAAGTAAAGCTGGGATTAAAGGTAGCTCATATTCGTCCTAAAGAAGCAATCTATGTCCTTGCTAAATTTTATCAAAATCTTCTCAGCGGTTTAAGCGTGATAAGGTAACAGACAGAGTTACTTTCACATTTATAATTAACACTAGCGGAAAACAAAAACAAACCTATCCTACGGGAACCGTACATTTTTCCAAGATAAAAAGTAACCTATGTGTTATTCCAGACTATAATCTACCTCTGTGCCAAATTTCATCCAGATCCGTTCAGTCGTACTGGCGTAAAAGAGTAACAAATATCCATACTCACAAACTTTCACATTTATAATATTTGTACAAATATTAGTACAGACACTATACATGATAATATATCCATTTGCTAATAATGGTGATCGTCCTGTGATCGAAAATCTATATCCATACTAATATTATAAATGTGTAAGTTTGTTTGTTTGTCCTTCTTTCACGTCAAAACGGAGTGACGGATTGACGTGATTTTTTGTGTGGAGATAGTTGGAGGGCTGGAGAGTGACATAGGCTACTTTTACCGCGGGATATTATTTTATTCCCACGCTGAAACACGTTATGATACAATCCAGAAAAATATTTATGATCAGAATTATTTTAAACTTGGTATTAATTAATGCTCTTCAATAAAATTAAATAAATACATGTTTTAGCATTTTTCGAAATTCATCCCATAAGGGGGTAAAATAGGGGATGAAAGTTTGTATGAAACTACCTTCTTTGAGATTTTTTACCTACCTTCTTTGTTCTGCTAGTATGTAATAAATATAACATATTATCATACATTTAGTATTGGAAACGAAACCAGATTCGCTTTTATATGAACTTGAACTCTTATGAGTTCATTCACCGCTTCTGACTCATCTCTCATCCTCATATACTTTAGACGTCCACGTCGTAATATATTAATGGTATTCTTGATCGATTTCAAAAAGAAGGTATTAATTCGCCTCTATTTTTTTTTATTTACCTTTTTGTGTAAATTGTAACGCAATATTTTCGCTAATTGTCAATTAAATTTCGTAAGTATACATTTTTTTATGAATTCTTCTAAGATTACGTGACACGGAAAATCGCTTATGTTTCTTTAGTGACTCTTACGCTCAAATACTACTGAACCGATTTTAATAAAATTTTACAGGATTCGGCTGTATTTTTTTAATATGTTTGAGTGTATAATATAACGCTACATCTTTGCTTATTGTAAATCGATATTTATACTTCTGTTTTTTCTTGAATGAATCCTACCAATATTATAAACACGAAAGTTTGTGAAAATATATGGATGTGTGTATGTTTGTTTGTTATTCTTTCAGGCAAAAACTACTGAACAGATTTAAAGGAAACTTTACAGTAATATCCATACTAATATTGTAAATGTGAAAGTGTGTTTGTTTCTTTGTTTGTTTGTCCTTCTTTGACGTCGAAATGAAGTGACGGATTGGCGTGAGTTTTTGTGT